CTGTGTCATTACGACTATTGTTCAGCTCATCCGCTGGGCCAGTGTGATAACCATAAAGTATATGTCGAACGGCTGGACCAGTGGAGCAAAATAGCCAGTCAGGTCACAATTTGGGACTACTACACCAATTTTGAAAGATATTTGCTGCCGTTTCCCAATTTCGAAACGTTAAAAAATGATGTAAAATTCTATGCGGATCGGAAGGCAATCGGACTTTTCCCGGAAGGGAATAACGTTTCCGACAACGGTGGCGGCGAATTTTCTGAGCTGCGTGCCTGGATATTTTCGCAATTGCTTTGGAATCCGGAAAGGGATGGACAGGCTTTGATTGACGAATTTGTCCAGCATGTTTATGGAGCTGCCGCTCCGTATGTGAGCGAATACATCAAAATGATGCACGAGCAGGTGAAACCAAAAAGCGCCTATTTCAGTATCTGGACCGACCCGGAAGATGTGAATTATCTGGGATTGGAAACCATTCAGAAAGCAGATTCACTTTTCAGTTTGGCGAAAGCGATTGCAAAAAAAGACAGCGCGCTTTACAAAAGGGTTGAGCTCGCTTATCTGCCCGTACTTTACACAAGACTGTACTTTTACTCGACCGGCGGTACTGCTTATCTGAGCAGGGAGCAAATGCCGGAGGCGCTGGCCGCGTTCAAACGAATCCTGAATACCAACAGAATTACCAGCATGGGTGTAGTAGAACTTGAACCCGGTAATATTCCAAATTTCATTAAAAGTGTGGAATCGTCCGACCGGTTTATAAAAGACTGGTGGCTGACAGGACCTTTCGACAATGAAAACAGAAAAGGTTTTGATACCATTTACGATCCGGAAAAAGGTTTTGACAGTACGGCGGTATTTACAGGCAAAAACAGCATTCAAACAAAATGGACAAGGTACAATAGCAACGAGTCGGGCTATATTGATCTTGCCAAAATGTTTAACCTAAAGAAAAATGTGGTGTCCTACGCCTACCGGAAATTTGAATCGCCTGTCGCCAGAAAGATGCAGTTTGGTGTCGGAAGCAATGACGGTGTTAAAGTGTGGGTCAACGGAAAACTGGAACTAAGCCGTCCGGTACTCAGAGCCGCAAAACCCAATGACGATGTAATCACAGTTGCTGTAAAAAAAGGATCGAACACAATTCTGGTAAAAGTGGATCAGCTGGGCAACAAATGGGGTTTTTATTTTACTGAAAGAAATTCCAAATAATAGTGGTAAGGTTTCTGGCAGTTGCAGTAACCGCGGCGATTTTTCCTTTTCTGTATGCGATTCTTTTGAAAAAGGGGCCAAAATCCGATACGGTTTTTTAGTTCACATCCTGCACCGTAAATTGGCGTAAAATCGCCAAAGTGTCATAGTTTTGGTATTAAACGTTTATTGATTGATGCTATGGTTTTTCATTTCCGAAAGCAGTTTCCGCAGCTAAATATTTATTGGGATAAATACATGCCATTTCAGCAACGACTGGAAGTGCCTGCCAAGACGGTCCTACTCGAAGAAGGAAAAGTATCGCAGCACTATACATTTATTGAGCAGGGCTGTGTACGCGCTTTCTTTCTTAAAGAAGGTGACGACAAAACCGTCCAGTTCTTTTTTGAAAATGAAGGGTTCTCTTCTATTGACAGTTTTGTCAACGAGGTACCCAGCGCCTTAACCATTGAGACGATAGAGCCCTCCGTTCTTTATCTTTTGCCCAGAACCTATGTGCTACAACTGGTCGACGAGCTAAGCCATGAGCCTGGCTTTGTGTCCATGCTGTTGAAAATAACGGCCAGCCGGCAAAGGCACTATAACGATGAGCTGCTCTCCTTTATCCGCGACACACCCGAGCAGCGCTATCAGCGCTTACTCACCGACCGGCCGCATATCATCAAGCGGGTGCCGCAGCATTATATCGCCTCTTATCTGGCCGTAAGCGCGGTGCACCTGAGCCGGATCAAAAATAAACTGGCCAAAGGCAAGCCGCATTTTTAAATTTGATAACATATGTTATCGTCGCGGGACTCTTGTCTGCTCTAATTTTGGCTTATATCAAACCAGAACAAAATGAAAGCAGCAGTTATGTTTCCCAATGAAGAAAGGCCCCGATACACGGATTTTCCTGAACCTCTCATACAAAATGACGATGAAGTACTGGTGCGCGTAAAAGCTGTGGCCATTAAACATCTGGATAAAAGCATGGCGTCGGGCAAACACTATGCGAGCGTTGCACCCAAAGGCCACGGAGCGTTGATTGGGGGCGACGGCGTTTGTCTTCTCGCGGATGGCACAAGGGTTTATGGCATGGGCGTAAGTGGCATGCTGGCCGAAAAAGCGGTGATCCACAAAGACCGCATCGTGAGGCTGCCCGAAAGCCTGGACAATGCCACCGCCGCCGCCTTACCGAATGCTGTCATCGGTGCAGCGATGGGTTTGAAGTTCAAAGCCAACATTCATGCAGAAGATGTCGTGCTAATAAACGGTGCTACCGGCGTAACTGGCCGTGTTGCTGTACAACTGGCCAAATATTACGGTGCGAAAAAAAGTGATTGCAACTGGCCGAAATCAGCAATCCCTGGAAGATCTGCTTTCTCTTGGGGCTGACGAAATAATTTCATTGAAGCAAACTGACGAGAAGTTCACAGCACAACTGGCGGCTATACATCATGCTACGCCCATCGATATCGTGATCGATTACCTGTGGGGCCACCCTGCTGAGCTAATATTGGAGGTTCTGAAAGGAAGAGGCATGTTTACCAGACCCATAAGTTATGTTTCCGTA